TTTGATTCAGCAAAATCAAGGATGCAAACTTCTTAGGAGCACTTAGTTTCCATGGCAGCCGAGGCTGACCCCAACATCACTGTTCTCAGGAGGGGACTGACTTTGCTGTGTGTCCATTCACTGAATTAATGGACTCCCGGTTCTTTTATCAGCAGCCCCGGACAAAGGAAAGGGAGGCACGTCTCCGGAGGGCTTTCAGACACTGTCCAGCCTTTGTCCGGGGCTTTACTGGAACGAAGCGAGTCTATTCAGCCTGAGATTATCAAAATCAACTCAGCGCTGTCTCCGAGGCAGCTAAACACACTTTGATTTCATAAAGACATAACCGATCTCACATGCAAATTATTAATTGGCAGGGCCGGGCTCTTAGGGCGGGGGGCTCTGCTGTGACTTTCCCGGAGTAAAGCGCCTTGTAGGTACGCTGCAGCACCTTGGCGGCCCCTGAGTGTTGCTGGCGGGGAGGGAAAGAGGAAAAGCAAAGATTTCCAACAACTAACCTCGCCGACACAAGCAAACCACGGCAGGGACAACCATGCTTGCTCTGGTCCCCGTGAGACCAGCTGGCCGCCACGCGCGCTCACGGCTCCTTGTCCTCCAGGGGAAAAGTAATGCAAAGGAAATAAACCACAGAAGGCGACACCGATCACAGACGCCTGGGTCCGCGGTGTGTGCTGAGCTTAACTGGCCCGTGAGGCCAGGACTCGGCCCCGAGCCTGCAAGGCACAGCTGGCTGCAGCCTCGCTTAGAGCTCGGGGAGCTGTGCAGGCTTCTCAAGTCGCTGCTGCACAAAAGACACGCGGAGGCTGCCCGTCCGAGTCCACTCCCACCCCCTGGCGCTCCCCCGGCTTCCCGGCTCATCCTTCAGCGGCCGCCCAGCCGCCCTGGGGGGCCCCAGGAGACGGGGGCGCCCGTTCCCAGAGGCATTTTGTCAGTGGGACAGGCTGTGGTCCTAACATCCAAATAATCATTTCACAAATTATCATAATTATCAATCAATCACCCTGCTTGGACAACGCCAGGCGAAGCTATCAGATGACTTTCATGACCTGTAGCATTTTGTACGTAATAACAGGGAGAGATTTATGGAAACATCACGTTCCGTCCTCAGCACCAGGGCTTTGTGAACTCAATTTATTTCTGAGTCTCCTTCGAAGCCTCGGGCCTCCCCACCCCTGGCCTGCCGCGCGTGCTGGGCCGGCCACGGTCTGTGAAGCGTCTGAAGGGGCACCTTCCCGGGCTCCGATCCCAGCCCCACTGATGCGAATTCCCTGATGGATTTATGTGTTGGAGGCGCGGAGGCGGCGCGGGCAGAGAAAGAGGGAGACGAAAGAGAAATAAAAGAAGAAAGGTCACTTCCCTCCGCGTACTGTATTAACACGTCCTTCCTTTTCAAGACGGTCAAAGAAAACAAGATAAAGCAAGACAATGGGGCGGCCGCTGGGGGCCTGGGGCTTCCCCTTCCGTATCGCCAAAGAGATTGAATCAAAATTCTTTCAGCAGATACCATCTCCCCGGGTGGACTACACTCTTGTTAACGGATAAATTCAAGCCCTCCAGAAAGTCAAAGAATAAATTTAAGCCTTTTGCCAAATGTCTATCCTATTGGATTTTGATAAGACGGCCATTGAGCCTTATAATGTCTTCCATCCATTTTCAGCAGGCCCTTAACACGGCTCTTTATTTGTCCCCAAAGCCTCTTCGCCCGGCCTTTTTATTACAGGCTCCGGCGGGCTCTCCAGGGAGCCAGGCGACCCGAGTGATGGATGGACAACTCACTAGATTATCTCCCACAGATGTTTGCTCTCCAGGAGCCCCGGGCTTCCCCTCTAAGTAAACAGAGACTAAATAGAGTCAGTCTGATGGGCGAGCAGTCCCAGGGGTCCCGGCACGGAGGGCGAGGCAGCGGACCTCAGACAAAGTGACTTTGGGGGACAAGCAGGTGCAGCCGGGGCGCACACCTGGGTGAGCGGGCACAGTCTCAGTGCCACCAGAGCGCGGGGCAGTGCAGCGCACCTGCGGGGGAGCCGCAGGGACAGGGGCCGTGGCAGGCGCACAGGGAGGAGGAGGACTCGGGAACGCAGAGACTGGAGCGGGGTGGCGGCGGAGAGTGACGCGGGCTGTGTGGTTCAGCAGGGAACACAGGGGAGACCAGGACGGGAGGGATGGCGGGGTGCAGGGGGGCTGGGGGGTCTGGACGGTACTCAGGGGCAGGGCGCCCTTGTCTCAGCGTCTGCTCAGACAAAAGGGTCCCACCAGGGCCAGACGCAGATCACCGTTACGAAGACGAACGAGGTCAGAGGGTCACCCCTGCCAGAGGTCACCCTTTCAGGAGGTCACCACAGGGTCAGACGACGTCCCCCATTGCACGGATTTCTCCAGAATCTTGTCTCTGGGGTTGAACTTGGTGAGAAGGGCAGGCCCCCTTCCCTTACACACAGGTCCCCCCAGACGCAAGTTCCCCCAGACACCTAACCATCCAGCCAGGCGCAGGAGGGAGCTCACAAAGTCTGGCAGAACCAACAAATTGCTTCCTTTTCACTTCCAGGCCTAAAAAGGAACCTTCAGGGTGACAGGAAGGCAAACTAATGGTGTCCCTGAGACCCCACCCCCAGGAGAGAGGGCAGCACCCCCATGAGCGCAGCTCCGGGCAGGCACTGACACCGAGGCGGCAGCACCTGCCACGTGGGAGCGCGGGGCTGACCCGCGACCCTGCCGCCTGGCCGTGCTCCTGCCGCGGCCCGGCAGCGCGGGGGCTCTGGCTCGCTCCGCTTAGTCT